GTATTGCTGCAAGAGGTGCACATTTCGAACAAAATCTTCATTAAAAAGTTTATAAATAAAATAATTAAAATAATAAATTAAATATATTTTTCTTTTTTCGTGATTTCCTGCGAAACAAAGCAAAAAGGAGCATATGTCTATAGGACTTTTTTTCTTAGTTTTTTACTCCTCTACACGCTCCCGAAGTTTTGCCATTTAATTTGGAAACACCCTGTATATAATATATATATTCTGTGAGAAGTGTATTTTAAATATACTTCTACGTGTTTTATATGAAACGTTACAAGCAAATGGCAGATACATGCTTAACTCTTATTTGTATATTACATTACACTTTTATTTTAGTAATTTAATATTCTCTCATAAATAATGATTAATTAATCATTTTTCTAATAGAGTTGAATGTAAAAAGCAAAATCTTGATGTATGATAGGAAGTGATGTTTATAATTTTCTATTGTATTATATATTCCTGAAAAAATGTTGATGTAGGAAAGTAAAGTATAACAAAAGGATATAGGTTTTTGACAAGATATCTTAACTGCGATAGCTTTTCTTTAAAATGCTGATATATATGGAATTCTTTTCTTATTTCTATCATATATTAATAACAATTCCGGGTAATTGAAGGGAATTGATTATTGCTATAAAGATGAAGTAAAATTATTATTCTAATTATGTTTCTTTGAAGACAGTACATGTAAATGCTGTAAATGTTACATTGTGTGTAAATGAAATGTAATCTTATCGAATTGTACTATATTTCAAATTTCCTTTAAGAACTGTATTATATTTTCTGGATAAATCAGTTTATTATTATAAAGTATCATTTTTTATTCTAATTGAACCGATCTTGTTAAGAAAAGCTTTTTTGGAAAAGACTAATTTGTTAAAATCATTTTAAAATTTAATATTAATTTTGTGCTTATGTTGTAATATCCAATAAAAATTGTGTTTGTAAAAAGAAAAAATAGATTTATCGGAAGAAAATGTACCAACAGTAAAAAATTTTGTACATTGTGGTGCATTCGATTTTTTAGAGAAATACAGTCAATTAAAAACAATTAGAATATTACGCAGATGATAATATGCATGTTTGTGCTTTAGCTATGCAAAATTTGTTTGAAATGTAACATAAAAGTAATAGATTGCATTGTATGTAAGAGGGGAGGAAGAAATTTGTGTTGGAATTAATATTAATATATTTTATATATAATGGAAATGCATCATATTTATAAGCTTATTATATATGCCAATATATTGTTCATATTGTGTGTATTTTATGCATGTTATGAACTGTAACTTCTTGCATGGTTTCGGATTGTCATCTGCATGTGCTAATTGGTCTCAAAATAAGCTTTAATATATCCATACATTTGTAGGATAAAATTAGTGTACAATTTGCTACGTTTAAATAGACTTAAATAGACTAATTGAATCCTTTTTTGATAAGGAAAAAAGAACAGATGCTCAAAATTCATATATCAAAAATTGGCGTATTATAAATTACAAGTTCTAGCATTCTTAGCTTTAATGTAAAATAAGTAATACTAACATTGTATGGATTGATTGTTATTTTAAGAATCGGCTTAAATGTAGTAAAACTAATAGTAATAGTAAAATATGCTTATCAGATCATTGATAGACACTTCTCTCTTTCTCTTTCAAATTTTTTATCGAAAAAAAATTTTGTCAGTAATATTTAAAAAAGTTCTTTTTTTGAGTGTTACAACATCAACATAAATTGCGAATTTTTTTTTATATAAGAATACACGGATTTTCGTCTTATTTTTGCAGGATATTGTACATCAGAATTATTTTTTGCATGTTTTTCTGCCTGCTGCTTGAACTTTGCCTTTAAGTCATTGTGAGAGAAAAATTTAGAACACTATATATACAATACTACCAGTTTGACAATGTAATACATTTACATTTTTAGAGATTTTTTTAGAAAAAGCAAACTTTTAATTAGTAGAGGAGATGAAACATAGATTATACGATTAATTAAATAATATTGTTTGCTTAAAGCTATATAATATTTTAAGAAAAATACATAAGTGTACGGCGCACATAAAAGCAAACGGTATTATATTTATTTCTCTCAGCATGTACTTTAGACAGAAAACTTAGGTAAGATTTTTCTATGTCCACATCTTCTTTTCTAACAGAAATCAAAATGTGTCTGGAATCTAGAAATGTAGAAGTAAAAAAGAGATTTTTTGTTCTTCAATTTTATTTTGTTTATTTTTTTTCTTTCATTATTTCTTGCAAGAAAAGTTTTAATCAATCTTTTGTATAATATTAAAAAAGAACGGAAAGTATCCAGTGAACATATTATTCTTGGAAATATTTTTTGAGTTTGGAAGAGTGGAGAATGTTGATTTTGCTTCTACATTCCTTGATTCTACTGTACGATTAGAAGCAATGAGGTTGCGACATTTTTTTTTCCGATGAGTTTAAGAATTCGCGATCAAGTTCAGGATGCGAATCCTCATGTGCAATGAATGAGACACTTTTAACAAATCATATGATCATATTCATTCATTGTACATGAAAGGGATTCGCATCCTGAACTTGATCGCGTATTCTTAAACTCATCGGAAAAAAAAATGTCGCAACCTCATTGCTTCTAATTGTACATGAATTTTTGTGCGTTTGAATATTCTGGCAAAAAAAGGAAAGTAACGGAGGAACAAAGGGCAACGCTGTTGAAGGTGTCGTAGAAACCGTTAGAATATATGTGTCAATGTTTGTATTCGTTGATGTGCATGATGACGAGTTTTGTTCACAGTTCACATGATGGTGGAGGAAGAGCCGCTGTTAGACGAGGAATACCATCATGGATCCGACACGGCCGTCGACCTCTGATATAATATTAACTTTAAGCTATTGGTTTCTCGATCGGCCACACATTTTGAAACAATAACGTCATACAAATCTACGGAAATAATAAAGTTCGCGTCGATCTCGTAGGATGTTCGATATTGTTGGACAATATCCGCGAGACCGCGCGACGACGATTGCACGAGGAATGAAACTTGTGTGTCTCACCCTACAAATGCATGATGTATCTCGCATACGCTCGCGTGTAGAAAAAAGATTTGTCCTGCATCTCCCTTTTATACCGCAATATTTTGTACGTGCCGTTTCGATACTATATATACAATTATATTGGATTCTCGACGGAAACAGTACAAAGCGAGCATTGGCGATACGATTGTACGAGCGAAGTCGCTTTCTTTCTTGTTATATGTGCGCTTATCAGTGAAGCTACTTAAATGGCATTACTTAGATGGATATATAGGAGAACGAGAGAAGATATAGTCCTCAATATTACACGAATCTAGCTCTTCGCGCAATGTATGCTATTAGCGAATTTGAAGATACTAGTACGTAACTTTGTATGTAGCAAAGTCAGAATCAACGAATTTTGTCTTGTTAGGATCTCGTCAAAGAGAGTCCCGAGAATCCCCGGCAAAGTCGATAAAATGTATTCGGAATGTAAAAATGTTGAAGGTAGCATTTTGTTTATACATAGAAGCGATATTTTGACTTGCTGATTTTTGAATCGTTTGAATACGATCGTTCGTGACGCAGATTTCTTTCTTGCGTGCGATATCAGCAGAAAAGCTGTTGGCATCATTTATACAGTAACAATAATGTAACGTAGGAAGGAGAAGCAACTTCGAAAGCTTGCAGAAAATCGTTAAATATATGTATAAGTTAGAAAGACGAACGAACACTACAGTATTACAAATGTTGCTTGTAGTTTTTAATTCTTTCGCGTGTCTGTATTTTAATGTGTCTATTATTTGCACGGAATCTTTATTTGCAAAGATTAAATCTATCACACTAATGTTGATTCATTTAATTGTCACGCGCGAACAGAGATTTATTATCTGTCATCTTGGATGATGATTTACTCTATATTTAATCTATCTAATCTGTGGTGTTCGCACAGTATAAGATAATGCTGGTTCTAAGACACTTTTATCTCAACGAAATCGCGTAATTTATTAATTATAAAGTTCGTATGATATTTAATAAAATTTATACAAGCGCGACGAGTTTCCTTCAAATTTTCCCAATTCGACCAAGATCAAAGTATTCAAACTTAAAAAAAGACAGAAGAGGATATTACATATTAATCTATCAAAACTTTTTTCTCTCTAGGAAACTAAATCATGTACGAAAACTTTTTACATTAATAGAATTCCTTATAAAAATTTAATACTGAAATATTTTTTACATATTAATCTATCAATTTTTTTTTCTCTAAGAAACTAAATCATGTACGAAAACGTTTTATCTTCGGCACTTCTTACATTAAGAGGATTCCTTATAAAAATTTAATATTGAAGAGTAGTGGTTGATTTCTTATTCTAAGTATTAAAAGCACACTATTATATTCAATGCTTTTAATATTCGAACTAAATTGGATCGTTATGTTATAATTTTAATTTCCCTTCGTGTCGTGTTACGGTCCCTTGTACGTTGGAATAAAATGTGCTTGAGTATATTAGATTAATCGATGGACACGCGCGTCTACTCGTTGTTGCGACGAGGGCAGCGAGCTACAGTTATTGGCATATAAGTTCTGGGTTTCCGAATGAAGCCACCCCTTGTTGCCCGCGACCTTCCCACGTGAATTCCCACATGGGAGATTTTGGGTATGCTATGCAGCCTCCCTCCTCCCTTTCTCCGAAAAAAGATATCGAAGACAGCACCCTTGTCCTTCGCCCTGCCACTGGTCGGTCGGTCGGTCGACCTAGTCGACGCCCCGCAAGGTTCTGGCCTCGTTCCTAGCTTCATGTACGCGCCACCCGCCACCTTCCTGCGTACTCCCGGACGTTCAGCTGAATCTAACGGGGCGTTATTGATCCAGCTGGTGACGCCGCGCGAGTACGCCAACCGGGCCACGCGACGTGCTTCTGAACGCACAGGGCCGAATTAAAGAGCTCACTTATAAGTATATAATTGGAGAATCGTTTTTTAAGGCAATATTTTTAGGGTGGAGATAATGAAAGCATCTCCGAACTCGTTGGAGATGCTTTGTCCTGCAACGCGTGTTTTTAATTTTTAAATTAATATCGAATTTAACCCCTGATTTTAATGGAACTATGTTAAGCAGTTTTTTTCTTAATTATCAATTTTCAAAGGCATTTTAATAAATCATACTAAGATTTTTTTTCAAAATTTTAAATATTTTCCAACATGTACATTATTATATGTAGGTATACATTTGGTTTTAGATGATGTCGATAGAATTAAATTCCAACGGATGATGTCTTCAAATTATTGCACTGTACACATCTAAAGGGATTAATACACAATTCAAATAAACTTGAAAATAATTAAGATGTTGGAGAGAGAGAAAAAAAATTAGATATATTAGAAATTATTTGTTGATAATCTAGAAATCTTGTCGATTATCCCATTAAAAATGTGAAGAAGAGACGATATGAAATATTATCTACTTTTAATAATGGAAGAAACTTTAATTTGTCGGTTTTGATGCTACAGGCAGGTCGTATTAAAAAAGTTTTCAGTTAAGTTACTATTGTTTTTATAATATTGAAAGTAGTATTAGATAATTATTATGCTTAATATCATAATAATTTCTCTTTAATTGAGTTTTAGATAATTATATTCAAATATAAAACGCGACATTATAAGAATGAGGCATTGAGGTTGTAATTGATGTAAAATAAAATTGTGTTTGAGATTCTTGATCGCTGGTAAATTAACAGCAATTTTCTGTCCGTCCCATACATCTTAAGAAAAGAAAAATCATGTGATCAATATAGTACCTACAAAAATATTTGCTCTGTCCACAGCATACTCTACGCCATACACAAAGACAAATATTACACGTGCGCTCTGTTCTACGCCCTATATCAAAAAATCAATACAGTCTAATACGGTCTATATTCTGTACAGCAAAAAAAAAAAGAATTGGAAGAATTCAAGCCCGAGCTGAGACTGAAGAAGACTCGACCATTCTTCCTCCGCTTGTTAACCGTCGGCCGCGCTTTAACCGGCGGCAAAACGGACGAGATGTCGGACGCGACGGATAATTGAGGCCTAATAAATGAGAAATAAATGGAAATTCACTTTCAGAAGTGGAATCGGGATGGCTTGCGACGTTACTGGAGGCGCGTCCGGCGTCCGCGGACGTGCGCTTGCCTGGTACCGCTTCTGGCGAACGATCAGCGTCGCGACGACGGCCGCGAGGCTCCGGGGCGCGTCGGCGGCCGCCAGTGCGATATCGCCGTTTGGCTGATACGGAACACCGTTGGCCTGACAATCGTTCGTATGGCGGTCGGACGAGGACCGAACGCGGTCGTTCTCCGCGTTAATACGCATTGCAAAATGTAAGTGTCTTGTGAGCGATGACGATGGCGGAGGAGCAGACGACGTCGCGATACCGACGTCAAGGGATTATTTTTCAATAGAATTGTTCGTAGAATAATTCCGGATTTGCTTCGGAACGGTCTTGAGCTAGCGAAGTGATCCCGGATACTTCTTTTTCTTCGCGCAAATTTAATTCCTTCCTTCCTGGGAGGGAAGGTCGATCGAATCTCTCGTTACGATTTGCGAATCCGAGCATTGCTCCCCGAATGGACGTCGGCTGTCAAAAAGGTGAAACTGTCTCTTCCGGTGGGGCTCGTTCATGCCTCGGGATCGATGCGGTGAAGCAATCTCGGCACGGCGTAATTGTTTGCGAACTTAAGTGCGAGTCCATTTAATTGAGATTCTCACACGGATGATGGCTACAAGAAACTGACATTTTCCGACTGAGATAAAGAGACGATTTTGAATTCTTTCCTCGTCACAGTCTGGGATTGGAACGTTCCTTGCCGAATCTACCGAATTAATTAATCGAATGTAAGAGTCGCGGTTGTAAAATCACGATCGATGTTCTTCAAGTCAATAGTATGATTGAAGTCACTCTCTGGGAACAGCAAAACTCGACGAGGTCAACTCGTTAACTATCGTGTCTTATCGAAACAGGTCGCCCGCAGGTATACGTGCTATTTAACGTCGCAGCTGAACGCAACTTTCTGACATCTGGTCGGAAATAATTCCGGATATCATTATTGCTGTCTTTGCATCTCGGCGATACCATTCGCGCCTCGGGAAGGTGGGTTGAATAATTGATCGCGGCACGCTCGGGAGTTGGGAGATTTAGTGAATTGTTAAACGCGACCTTCGGTCAGATAATCCATCGTTGAATTTTTGACAAATGAACTTTTAAAGTGATCAATACTTTTATAAATTTTGCTGTCGCATTTGAAACACATACGCGTTAATGTCACGCATAATTTTACTTTTTAATTTATGCGAAATTGATTTTTAGAATTTCAAAGCTAGAGCAAGAAACGAAGCATATTGCAATTAATATACAAATTTAGGATGCCATACGTAAAAAAAAAAAACAATCCACATTTGCAATTTGTTTACAGCGACATTGAATTCTGCATAATTTTTGCAAATAATTTTATAGGTAGAAGGGCAGTTTGATAAATCAGTGGTTTTTTAACTTTTTTTTAACCAAAATTCGATTTATTTTTCAACATACTCTCCTTTCAAAAAGTCATTGATTTATCCACATACGGTATAAATGGTATAAAAGATTCTTTTAAGATCGAAGAGTTCAATTAATGTCACCGAGTTCTTCTATTCTTTTTTTGAAGGCTTGAGAAAAAATGAGTCTGCAAATAAATGTCTTCAAGATTGACTATCTCAAGTTCTCCATCATTTTATCGTTTCAAAATTGAAAGATTCGTTACCACAGCGTTACGACGTAATCCGTTTTCGTCTAATGAATCTGAGAAATGGGATTTAAATGAAATTTTCAAATTAAGATGAGAATAAATGGGAATTAAATGCGATTTTCTCATTAAGATTGAGTTCTTCAAATCATTAACGGAACATGGATTAGATCACTGAACGTCACACTGAACTTTCCGATCGATCGTTTTTTTCATGCACCGAAAAAAGACAAAAAAGACAAGTTCTTTGAGGATCGTCTAGAATGTCTGAAACTCCCCGGACAGACAGGAAACGTTCGAACGATATCCGAAAGATCGGATCTCGTTTGTCGCTGGAGCGGCTCTTTTTCCGCGACAATCAAGCGACCACGTACAGTTTCAGCCTGTAATCGCCTATCATACGTCGGCGATATAATCGAACACGGAAGTATACGTGGCTTCGTGCACATGACTCCATCGTCTCCGTCTATGTTGCGCCACGGCGCGAAATACAAGATGAGGTTCGATATCGGAATTAAACATGCCACGCGCATGCACTCTCTTTCCTTCGTTCCCTTTTACCCCCGACACGGTGACACAGATATCCTTTTTTGGGCCTCCGGAATCATTGATCTTCTGAAATCTCGTCCGGACCGGCTGCTGCCTTCCGGCCTCTTCTACCCATCCGCCCTTTGCTTTAGAGAAGTTGATCTGTTACCGTCAAACATCTCGATCACTTTTGTAACTGAAATTTAAGATTTTGAAGTGTGACAATAAATAATCCCTTCTTTTAAAACCTTTGGTGTGTAATTTGAGTAATTTCCAAAGTTTAAAATGGTTAACGTTATTAATAATACTGATATTACATAACTTCCGAAGTAACGTCACGTCAAATTAACATGAAATTCAGTGAAACTTTCAAGTCCTTTCTGTCCATTCGCCCTTCGCGATCAGCGCTTTAGAGAAATTGATCTGTTAACACCCAACGTTTCACTTTTGTAATTAAAATTCAAGATTTCGAAATGTAACAATAAATAATCCCTTCTTTTAAACGTCCAACCATTTTAATCTTTATGTAATTTTCAAAGGTTAAAATGGTTGGACATTTATTGATTCTAATTTAACTTTCCAAGTAACACGCAATGTTACAGTCAAATGACGTCAAGTTGATATAAAATTCAGTGAAACTTCGTCAAGTTTCAGTCATATTACTTCATTTTGACCTTATCATGATAATTAAATGTTACTTAGGTTGAAGCTTTACGAAAACAAGATAACTGCAGTATAGTGTAATTAAAACTCGAGAGGTGGAAGCAATCTACGTCAACGATTTT